CCAAGAAAATTTGTGATCAATATATCATATGTGATCTAAAAAATATGATTATGACTCATGATTTATTAAATTGTGATTGAGAAATAATTTGTCAACAGGTAATTTAATAATTTGTGATTTGTGTATGATAAATAAATTGTAACCTATAAATATTTTGATTTTGTGATCGATAAATAAATTTTGACATATAAAAAAATTTTATTTGTGATCGAGAAATAAATTGTGACCAGTAAAATTTTTGATTTGTGATCAATAAATAATTTGTGACCTATAAAATATTAAAATTTTGAATTGTGGTAAAGAAAAATCATAATCAATTAATTTAAGAATTTGTGACCAAATTATGTAAAAATGTGAAATTAATATATTTAATTAATTATTTCATAAATAAAATTTAAAAATAACTAATTTTTGAAGTTATAAACATAATTTCTTAGTTTTCAAATGAGTAACGGTTAAATTTTTAGATATGAAAATTTCCCTTGTTTTTAAGTGTTACCCAGCCCAAAAGAAACCTAAATCCAATCCAAACCAATACTTTTAAGCTAGTGGAAATTACATATTCTAATATATTAGAAATCCCCATTTTACAAATAAGATGCCATGTTTAATATTTCTCAAATCAGAAATTTTTTTAATTAATTAATATATTTAAAAATTAATCTAATAAATAATAATTTCAAACCCTAATTTATTCATTTTCTACCTCACTCTCTCTCTCTCTAAACCAGCAAACCTTCACTTCTCCATCTCACCTATCAACAACTCTCTCCACCACCTCACTGAGAACCTCTCAACCTTAGAGCACCAGCGTCGGAGTGAAGCCACTAGTAGCCATCGGAGTGAAGTGGTGTCATGTCTACCTCATGTTCCTCCCTCTCTTCGAAGCCACTCGAAGTGAATCATGACTATCGCCGTATCGCCATCGCAACATGTATCTAGATGTGAGAGACGATGTGACGTGGAGTTGTGTGTGCTATGATTGTGTAGTGTCGTGGGCTGTGTGGTGGTGGCAGTATTGAACTGGTGTGGTGCCATAGGATGTGGGAGAGGTAGTGGTGCGCATTACGATGTTGTGTAAGGGCGGTGGTTGGGTGTGCTATTGTGCGATGGTGCAGTGGTATTGGCTGCTGACTAGTTGTTGTGAGATGGTGGGTGGCTTTGTGGTGGCAGATCTGATGATTTGGTGGTGTTTGGCGAATCTGGTGATTGGATAGTGCAGATCATGGCTATAACGGTGTAGATCGTGATGTTGCTTTTTTTTCTTGGTTGTTGGATGCGATGCAGGCGATGGCAGCATGGTGTTGGTGACGGCAGCGTTGGAATCAATTGAGTGGATCAATAGCGTCTGTGCCCAGTAAATTGCTTGACTTGGTTGTGGTGACGGTGGTAGTTATGGTGGATTGCGGTGGTTGTGATGGTCGTGGCATTTTGGTTGATTTTGTGACAAATAATTGGACCCATGACTTGAAAATTGTGTTTGTGACTCCCAATTATAACTCACAATTTGGGAGTCACAGTTGGTCGCGAAGGTGGTTGTGGTGGTCATGGCGGTGGTCGTGACGGTTTGGTTGATTTGTGACTCACAATTGGATACGTAACCTGAAAATTGTGATTGTGACTCATAATTGGATACGTAACCTAAAAATTGTGACTATAAATCGTAAGTGTTGGTAATTGCCACAAATTATTTGGTTAACTATAACCATTAAAATGATTAATTTGTGACCAATAAATAATATTTGACCAATGAAAAAATAAATTGTGATCGAAAAATAATGTGTGACCTAAAAAATTGTTAATATGTGATCGATAATTTTATAATTTGTGACTGTATAAGAAGTTGTGACTTGTAATATCTGTGATTTGTGACCAATAAATAAACCGCCTTATAAATTTTTCGATTTATGATCGATGAATAAACTGTGACCTATAAATTTTTTGAATTTTGATAATTTGTGATATAAAATTTTGAATTTGTGATAAAAAAAAATAATAATAATAAGTGACAAATTAAATCATTAATTTGTGATCAAATTATATAAATATGTGACTGCAATATATTAATTATTAAAATAATTAATCAATTAAATGATAAATAATTTTTAATAAAAATCTGATTCTTAAAATTTGAAACTTATTTTCTTATTTTTGAAATGTGCCATAATTAATATGTTACTTAGGAAATTTTCCCTTTCAACTATCCCCATTACTTTCGTGACGTCGGGTAGGATAGTGATTATCCTATTGGTTTGTTGTAGCAGATGATTCGCAAGAAAAGAACGACAGAAAACGCCCAAAAAATCAGAGAAAATACTCTGAATTCAACTCAATTTTATTAATAATGCCGAATGATGAAAACTAACCCACAAGCCGGGTTAAATAGCTGCAAAATACGAAATTATGGGAAAATTACCAAAAATGGCAAAATCTCAAAATTATACCAAAATAAAATATTAAGTAAAAGAAGTAAGTTGCCAAAAATTTGGCTCAATTCGAGTTTTCTAACATATGGAAAAAAGGAAACGAAATATTACCATAAATAGTAAAAAATAACTTAAAATTGAATTTTGAAAAGGAAAACAGTGGATTTTGGGTTCGAAATTGACGTCCACCGAGCATAGTTGGGTGGCCACGACGTGCGCGCCGAAAAGAGCTTTCCGAATTGGGGTCATAATAGCGATTCCGAAACCGTAGCCAAAGTTATGGCCAAATTACCAAATATGCGTCAAATTCTCCCAATTAAGGAAATAATGGTGATTCACTTTTCATCTTTGCGCCGATCTGCCATCTCATGGTATCTCAGCGCCATCATCGTGCTATCTGACAAATCAGCATCACTCGACTCGGATCCTCCTGCATCATTCCGCCATTGGACTTCGAATCTCTCTCGACCTCTCAAACACAGACGGACCACCAACTCACTCGACATCAGCTCCAAGCGTCAGTGATTCTTGTCCGGAAGAAAGTGAAGAAGCTAGATTCTAGAAGGTCTTGTTTCTAATTCCCTAACTATCTCGAAATCTCTTACGATTCCTTTTTCATTCCCTTCGATTCCAATGGCGATTCGACAGACAACAGCACAACAGAAGCCAGAAGCCAGAAGAAGAGGTTGAAGCCCCAAAGCCATCTCGTTTCTCTTTCTTTTATTTGTTATTTTAATTTGTTTAATGTTTCAATTTTTTCTTTTAACATACATTGAACTGAAAATCAAGATGAGTTCGATGACCTATTAATTTTTTCTTGAGTCTTGGGTTTGTTTTAAAATCATGAACTAGTTTTGTATTGTATATGAAATTAGCTCTATGAATTGCTTCTAGTATTGTCCTGTGAATTGCTTCTAGTATTTGTGAATTGAATTGATTCCAGTAATTCTGTTTTGAATGGTTGTGGGGATGACATTAGATCATTAGAGATTCGTAAAATTAATTATGTAGCTTGATTTTACTTGATTTGGGCTTTAACTTGTACAATAGTTGACCCCCGTCTGGCCCGATTAATTTTCATTACTTTACATTCCATTTTTTTCTCTCCTATTTTCAACCACACAATTTTCCATAAAATAATATTATCCATAAATCGAAAATTTTTCCTTCTTTTTTCCACCACTCATTTTTCAAAAAAATACTATTCCACCTGTTTTCATTTCTACAAAATGGGGGCCTAACGGGGGCAGAGTCCCAAAATGATATATGTATTAAATTCAATTTTTCTGGGCCAAATAGTTAAATTTTGATTAAGTATATCAATATTTGGCTTGTTAGATAGCTCGTACTTAATCATGTATATTAGGTTCGAGAAAATATTAATTTAGATATGCAAAGCCCAAGTTATTGAAGTTGAAACATATTACCTTAATTTGTAATTAATTAAGTTAAAATATGAATTTAAATATTCTTATGATTCCTACTATTATAAGGTTTAATTTAAAATTCTGTTTTAATTATTCTTATCTAACGAGGTGCAATTGTTTTTTTCCAAATGTTATCAAATTATTATACTTATGAAAGTTAAATATATGATATGATACATATGATATGTATTGAGTTCTTACCCGTCCCTAAAGATATTATGATGGTATAGTATTTTTTATGTATTTAAAAAATTTCATTTGGGATTGCACCATTATTTTCATATCCTAGTGAGTATTTTCATGTACTCAACCCTTCTCCTACTCCTCACAAGTTAGAACAGGTCGTTGGTTGACAGGTAATGAGGTTCAGTCGTTGTGTTTGGATTCATTGGACTTAATAAAGTAAATTCGGTGTAATGTGCTTGAAAATTTTAAACTCTACCAGTAATCTTAGTTTTATTAATTTATCGAACTCTTTCCTTTTATTTGAAAATCGAGACAAAATTTGTTTGGATATGTAATTTCGTACGGTGACTTGACAAACTCAAACTTGCTTCAAGTAGCGTCACTACACCAAAAACAGGTTTTCGCAACAAGCAAAAAACGTTGCGAAAGACTTACGACAACGTTTAGGTGTCTGTTGCAAATCTTGACGTTGTTATAGAGTATAAAGATACGACAACGTTTGAAATTACGTTGACTTGACAAATTCAAACTTGCTTCAAGTATGTTGTGTCACTACACCAAAAACAGGTTTTCGCAATAGGCAAAAAACGTTGCTTAAGACTTACGGCAACGTTCAGGCATCTGTTGCAAATCTTGACGTTGTTATAGAGTATAAAGATACGGCAACATTCATTGAACGTTGCCGTAAACCTTTATGGCAACATTCATTGAACGTTGCAAATAACTTTTTTGAACGTTGCAAAAAAGTTATTAAAGAACGTTGTCGTAGGTCATTTATAATTTTTTTTTGGCATTTATTGAACATTGCAAAATGGTTATTTGCTAGGTCATTTACAATTTTTATTTATATTTTTTGCATTTTTCCTGTTTGTATAGCTATTGACCAAATCAATCACATAATAAAAAAGAATTTTTTGGCTTGCATAAAATTGATATAATTTTATTATATCCATACCTAATAGACAAAACTCATCATTATAATAAATTGAAGAAAATTTTTTATTTGCATATCGCCCATCTAATAAATATCTTATACTCCTCTTAAACAAAAGAAAATTATTGTATAAAAGAAGATAATTTACAACTTGCTGATTTCAAACCGTTGGGTTGGCTAGATCTCAAAAATCCTTCCCGTTACTTTCTTCTTGGTCTGCATCTTTCATATAGAAAAGAGCCTCCCACCTTGAAGATACCTGATGCTTCGTCGTAATGCAATCTTTTTCTTTTAAATCTTCTTCTTTTAATACACATTACGGTAGAGATTCATAACGTTCAATGAACTCCATATCGTTTGCTAAATCAATACCTCAGGTGACCTTTGCAGGCAATGGATGCATCCGGTTTTGGAGTTCCATTACGTGCTGCTCCATGCTGCTCCAAAGCTTTTGATTCAAAATATTCAAGCCATGCAGCAGCATCCTACAATTACATGGTATATCAGTTACCCTTTTATAACATTCTTCAAAATTAATTACCTATTGAAATGCATCCATTTGGCAAAGCTAGTACATTTACGTATTTGAAGATGCTACTTCCCATAATAATGGGCATAGAAGTGCCTGAAGGAAAATTATATTAGTGAGCATAAATATCTTTGACATGAAGAAGAGTTACTAGTTAAATAACTCTCTGTTATCTTTTAGTAATACAAGCCTCATTCTTTCCCTTTCCCTATCTTTTCTTGTATCAAATAAGGTATCAAAAGGTATACTTTCCTTAAGAAAACTCTATATCTTCTCCTTCCACTACATGACCAAGACATAGCTCAAAATAGAAAAACCAGAGTACAAGTGTAGCCTGATGGTTATAGAAATTTACTGTAAACCAATAAAGGTAAACGGGGGAATGGCAATGAATCCTTTCAGTTTCGAGTGGACACGGAGTGGCATAGTTGAATGAAAATTTTTTTTTTTTTTTTTTTTTTTTTTTTTTTTTTTTTTTTTTTTTTTTTTTTTTTTTTTTTTTTTTTTTTTTTTTTTTTTTAGTTTTTTTTTTTTTTTTTTTTTTTTTAAACTTTTTCTTGTTCTTATATTATAGTCTAATACAATTTAAAAAATAAAAAATAAATAAACTATAGCAACCAAAAGCTTACAAGATAGTAGTTGTTTTTAACAATCTAGGAAAATAAACAACTACCAACTTACAGCTTCAACACCTTGCTTGATCAGAACCATGGAGCTCTCCATTTCTTCTAACTTCATCCCCATTATGAAGTAGTCCACGTATCAAGGGTAGCATGGAATTCAAAGGTATTACTGAAATTAAATGTATAGTTACCAGGTAGCTAAACAATCACAGTAAAAAATTCCCAAAATATCAGAACCTGAACAGCCAACAAGATATATTTTATTGCATAGTCTACTTCAAGGTGCAAAGGTGAAAAGCCCCTTTCTAGGTTCTTTGCTTTCAAAGAATCTCCACAATAATTTCAATTCATTCACCCAACACTTACAAGTTACAACACAATTGACTCAAGAATTCATTATCTATATCATCTTGAAAACAATTAAAAAATTTCATCAATTTAAAGAAATAAATAAACCAAAACACGATTGTTTGCTTGTTCTTCGCTCTCAATATTGGGTCTGGATATTCCACTATTTTGAGCTGCCCTCGAAATGTAAATCATCAGCTAACAACAAACAGTAAATTAATAAAAATAAATAAAATCTGATTGCTAATCTTGCTTTTCCAATTATCATATAAACTAACAATTAATATTAAAGTACAACTGTGAATTTATTATTATGTCCTTACGAGAAGCTACTTCATCTTCTTTGACCATGGAAGATAAGTTTTGCCGAGCCCGTGCGAGAACCACCGGTGTTGGAGGTTTATAGTTGCTGGATGACAAAATAATCAGAGAAGTTGAGGTGAACCGGTAGTGCCGCCGGTAGTTAGGGCAGAGAAGCGCAACTATACGTCAGAGAATGGGGGGAGAGCATGAGAAAGCGTTGAAGACAGCAGACATTATTACCACGAAATGCTTGTGGTGGCACCTCCCAGAGACAGCGACGTCCACTGCCATTAATGGGGAAAAGAGTATTATAAGAGAGGAATTAATGAGAGACGAGTGAGAGGCGGAGACGAGAGTTGAGGGAAGAAATTAGGGTTGTAGTTGTGTTTTGGACTTTGGAGACTAAATTTAAGTCTTTTAACAAACTAATCGGGTCCTGGTCGAGTGGGTTGGGGGAATTAACGGCAACGTTCAAGTGAACGTTGTTAAAACCTCTAATAGCAATGTTCATTGAACGTTGCTAAAACCGATCAACTAATAACGGCAACGTTCATGTGAATGTTGTTAAAACCTTTAATGGCAACGTTCAATGAACGTTGCTAAAACTGATCAACGACAACGTTCGCATGAATGTTGCTAAAACTGATTAATGGTAACGTTCTTTGAACGTTGCTAAAACTAATCAATGGCAACATTCATTGAACGTTGCAAAAACATTACGACAACGCGCATTGCACGTTGCAAAAAAGAAAATAACAGCAATGGTCTGTGAACGTTGCAAAATGGTTTTTCAGCAACATTCATTAAAAAAACGTTGTTAAATCTTAATTTTGTCAACCAATGGCAACATACACTTGCTGAACGTTGCAATAGAGCCCTTTTAGCAACGTGCAATTAATAAATGTTGCCTTTTACATGTTACAAAAGGCCTTTTTTCTTGTAGTGCGTATTCCTTACGATTTCAGTTTTCGGCTTAAATAATTACATTAAATTGGAGATTGAACGACAGAGCAACTTTGGTAAATTGATTTACAATCACCATGCATGTCTAATTAATAAGAGTGGCTATAATGATACTAAATTGAGTAGTGCTGTTTAGTCTCGCTGTGATTGCAACCTCAATTTAGGTCATGTTGATGTGACATTAAATGATAAATAGAATTGAATGACCCATCTAATTTCACCGTTCATTTTGCTTATCATCTAGCGATACCTAAACTGGGGTTACAATCCCAGTGAGACTATATAGCATTATTTAATTAAATTATTTGATGCTTGAGGCTGTGTCCTACTTAGTGAAGAAAGAGAATATAAAATATGCCTTATTATTTTTTCGTAAAAAGGTAAATTGGTTAATTAACATTGTGTTCATATTCTTTGCAATGCTATTGAATGGCTCACATATTTTCTTCTAGATTCAGCATAACATGTCAATGGGGTGCAAATAATTGGAAGAGAATATTCGTCATGATACCTACGTTGAAATATTTATATGAGAATTATTAACTGTCAATTTTTTTTTTTGTCTATATAAAATACATAAGTTAATTCCACGTTGTTTAATTTTTATTATTATTTTTTTTTCAAAGCTTTGTGTAGCATTTTGAGTTTAAAAATTTTGTGTTGTTACACTTTTGATGATTGATAACGAAGTTGTTGCACAACAATATCAAGGTATGAAAATTCGGAACAAGTGTAATTTATAAACTATGTCATTTTGGGTAATGTCGTAATATTATTTTATATTTTTACCATCATTAAATTCATGATAAAAAAAAAATTTTAAAAATGAAAAATTGTCAATTAGTGCTCACATTGAATGAATTTTCTAGCTTTGATTAGACATAAGCAATCCTAGATTAAAATTAAAAATAAAATAAAATTATTGACCCAATTAAAATTTGCTTGCGTTTTCATTGACCATTAATAATGTCCAACCATATTATGTATTGTTGGTTTGCAAATTATGAGTGACATAAGCCGTAGATATGTGAATCTACATAAATTATTTTGTGGGAAAAATGCAATTGTAATTCCAATCATTTTACTTTTATCTTATTTCTTCATTTATGGTACTCACAGTTCCAGCTCTTTCAATTGGTTATAGCCAAATGACAAATGGGCAATTTTCGTCCATATTTAATGATCTTCTAACCGTCGTGCTTAGCTTAGTTAAGCATCAGTGACAAGACCCATCATACTTGACGAATAAATTAATGGTATATCGCATAAATTTAATGATTCACTAATCAATTGAAAAATGATCAAAATATGATCAAAGTTAACTTTTCTCATCAACTAATATATTTGTTCTTCAACTACAACCTATTGAAATGTTTGGGAAAATGAGTGCCACAAATGAATGATTAGAATAAAAAATGCAACTAAGTGAAATGTTCAAGATTGCAACTGCAATTTTCCCTTATAGGTCTGACGTGTCTCACAACATCAAGTTGGCAAAATTTTGTAAATTATTTATAAATAGTCAAATTTTATTTTCAATCACACATTTCATTAGACTAACAAATATTATTTATTTATTGACCACTCGTTCTCTGTATTTAATTATTAATAAAATCATTATAAATATTTACCAAATGGAGGTTAATGACTATCGAGTTATGTTTATTAGCAGCACACCATATTTGAGATTTTCTAGTTGCATTGTGCTGAAAATGCAAGTGCACAATCTCGTAACAAGTAATAGCACCATTCTCATGAAAATTTCATTAATATGAACTAACATAGTAATCCTAATTTTATTTGAACAATGTATTTAGAATTGATTTTAAACTAAAATTAAACAAATTAACTAAGACTAATGGAAATAATTTAGCGAACTCAGCTAATGAAAATTTAATAGAGAATAAGTGTTAAGAGCAACGATTTCATCCTAGTTAATCCTACTCAATCTTGCTTATCAAATTGAGACAATATGCATTCACGTAGCTGGTCAAATCTCCTAAGTTTACAATCATTCTTGAGTCGAGCTAAAATTATCTTTTATCTGTGACTTTATTGTATCTATGTGTTGACACGCTAAAAGTGCAGCCCAAATCGAATAGCTTAAAGAATGAAGCTCAACTGGGCAATTCAGGATAAAGGCTCAAATATGGTTATTAATGAATGCAGTGGAAGCCCACGAACGCGGTAACATCATCGCTCAAACTTGCAAGACGCCCAAGATCTGAGCGAATGAAGTGCCTTGCAGTCGGCCAGAGTTATGACCCTGTTCTGACCCAAACCTTCGAATTGCCCAAGATCTAAGCAAACATAAGATGTTATGGTTATCCAAAAGTGCAGTTATCGAAACAGTTATTGAGTAATCTTATCACGTTCCATGATTCAAGAAGTTCGGTTGAAGACGGTTGAACGACAAAGAAGTAGTGGCAGCAGTTAGATACGACAGTTTCACGATAAGTTGGCCACCATGAAGAAAGTGGACAGTTATAAAGCAATTAAGCAGTTTTTAAGCGGTTGATCACGAAGAAATCATCAAGGGAATATAAAAGGAAGAAAAGACATAGAGCAAAGAACCCCGAATCAAACACTCTCAAACATAGAATATGTAATTTCAATTTCTTAGTTTAGACTTAAACATTTCTTTTCAGTATTCGTGTGCTTGCGCCCCTTGGAGGCATTCTGTTTAAGTTCCAATTGTAAAGTCATCGCCAATAAAACACCTCTTTTTGGGACTCTGTCTCAAGAGATTTGTTCCTTACACAATCGTCTGATCTCTTTTTAATTGTTAGCGACTACCCGCGCGAAACAATTTGGCACACCCGGTGGGATACTGGTGTTTGGTGTTGAAGATACAAAAGGTGAAACAATATGCCTCAGAAATCCGATAAGGAAGCAGCAAGTTAGGGAGGAGTCCAGTCTGTGATCGAGCAATATGAGGAGCAGCATAGCTCTCCAAGAACAGATGGACAGAATCAGAGCAATCATAGTCGTTACGAACCAATGACAGAGTTGAGTCCTCGAACCATGCGTGCATTACTCGGAGAACTTACACAAGATGTCGTTAAACAGGTAAATCTATGAAATATTCATAATATGAAAAGATTTACCCAGAATGGGAATACACATTATGACAACATGGCCAAACAACTGAATACTTTGAATGAAATAATGAATAAGTTAGTAGGCCAAATTTGTCAGCCAGTTGTGCCTCTTGCAAACCACTTTCAAATTAGGACAATTGTGGGACATAATCCCCCAGTCCTAAGTTTAAATCAAGGGGTAGAACCACATTTTGATCCCTCTACTTCAAACCGGGGGGTGGTGTAATACCAAATCAGAATAGTGACATTGGTAGAGATAATGTCCTAAATAATGGGCAGAATACCCCACGTGTTAATGATGGAATAAATGTTCAGGCTAATGGTAACAATGGTCTAAATCATGGCAACTTTGTTGCCAACCAAGGATCAAACATCAGGCCTCAAGAAAATCAACCGGTCAACCAACCTGTAGGAATTTCATATGACCCCAACGTCATGTTGAGGAATCAGATTATGAAAATCGTACAGGACCAGACGGCTTTTGGAGTACGTCCTGTCATTAGGCCGACTTACACAAAGCCATATCCTGATTGGGTAGACCAAGCATATCCATGGCCTAGAGGGTATAAAGTGCCAGAATTCTCACTGTTTGCCGATTTAGGAGAGGTGTCTACTCTAGAACACATAGGGCGATTCACACTGCAAAGTGGTGACGTAACTGATTACCATAAAATGAGGTTGTTCCCTAGTTCATTAACAGGAGTAGCCTTCTCTTGGTTCATCAATTTGCCAGCAAACTCTGTCCAAACATGACAACAATTGGAGCAATTGTTCCACGCTCAGTTTTATAAGACTAAGTCTGAAGTTACTTTGACCGATTTGGCGAATCTACGTTAAATGCCAAACGAATGGGTAGAATGTTTCCTTCAAAGGTTCAAGACGGCAAGAAGTAAATGTTTTGTACCTTTACCCGAAAAGGAGTTTGTCAAATCGCTCAAGGTTGCTTATACTTTGATTTGAAAAAAAAATTCCAAGACAAGGAATTTCCTGATCTTTTCCAATTGAGCGCGAACGTGATTAGGTATAAACGATTAATAAGAGAAGAAGAGCAAATGAAAAATTCTAGCAAGGGGATTTATTATAGAGACCCAAATTTTGATGTTCATACCATTAATGACGAGTATTACGATCAAACCGAAATGTGTTTGGCCAAATTAGTTAAAGGAGACACGTATACTTGTCCTATAATGGCTAAGCCTAGACCGTCGGGCAAGGATTAGCCTATAAAAGATGAAAACATAAAAGCTAGAACGTTCTCGTTCGATGTAACCAAAGCTGACCTTATATTTGATAAATTATATAAG